TCGTTGGTAGGTGTCACTGGAAAGGAGGAGGACGGAGAGGACGGAGGGCGTGAGGGAGGGGTGCTTTAGTTTTAGTAAAAGCTTCACTGTGTGACACCGTAAGTCCCGCTTCGCCTGATTGGCCACAGTCTACTGTGTTATACCGTAATTCTTGACCGATTGGCCGTGACCTACTGTAAGGCATATCTGATAGGTCACGATCTACTGTGTTATATCTTAAGTCTGGCCTGATTGGCCACATTTTACTGTGTTATACCATAAGTCATTCCTGATTGGCCACGATCTGCTGTGTTATAACCGTAAGTCCCGCATGACCGGCCACAGTCTTCTATGTTATACTGTAAGTCTCTCCTCATTGGCCACGATCTATGGTGTTATACTGTAAGTCCCGTCCCTCTTGATTGGCCACAGTGTACTCTATTGTGCTATAAGTCCCTCCTGATTGGCTACAGTCTTATGTTATACTGCAAGTTCTGATGGGTTGGCCTTCTTAACTTATCTTATCTTCTCTTATCTTAAGTTATCTTATCTTATCATAACTTACCTTACGAGGTCTGTCTCAGAATAAAGTTTCCCTCTTCCATAAATTCAAAAATACGCAACAAACAGCCGCTAACTTTTGTGACGTCAGGACATCATGTCTAAGAAATCTCATCGCCACATTGCAAGTGCATTGGTGAACGGGTCATAGAGCTGTGACGTGTCAAGTGTGGTGTTCTTGTGCACTTTGTCAAAGGCAAATTCGAGGAAAATGGCTTAGCAAAACATTGGTGCAACCTTCTCTTGCTACGACATCCGAGTTGTGATCAAATTTTCAACTCTTCTCGGCAAGTCTGCAGTTGATCTATTCTTAGTAATAGGGAATAATTCCCCATAAATTCAAACAGTAAGGAAATGGATCAGGGAGGTTGGAGGTGGGAGGTCTGACATGAAAGATGAAGCGCATACAAAAACACGGGGAGAGAAAGGTGATGCACATTGTTTTTTTCGACATGAGTGGCATCATACTAAGCTGGCCAGTCTAATCTGGCGTAACTGTCAGTGGTGACTACTACAGGTTCGTCCTCAAAAACAAACTGAGACCTGAGATCCGGAAAAAGACATCCTTTGCTTGAAGAAGGCGTCACCCTGCATCATGACAACGCGCCTGTTCACAAGTCCAGAGTTGTGAACGAGCTTCTTAAGGGATACTCATGGGAATTATTGGAACACACACCCTATTCGCCCGATCTGACCCCGTGCAACTTCCACCTCTTCCATAAGGGGAAGGATTGCTCCAAGGTGGCGATTTGAGGACGAGGACTGGATTCAAGAGGCTATGAGAAAAGCGCTCGGGACCTTGGACAAATAGTCATTGACCACTGTCTTTGACCGCTGGGTACATCAAATGGAGAAATGTCTTGAACTTGATGGTTCCTACATTGGATAGGTATTTGAATAAGCTTTCTGTTGATACCAAATACAAGGTGATTTATAATTATATATGAGGACAGCATGACAGGGAAACTTTATTCTGAGACAGACCTCCTATCTTATCTTAACTTATCCTATCTTATCTTCACTTTCTAAGTGAGCCTGGAGGAGGAACAACAGGACAACATCAGAAATTAAAACTATAGCAACCAACGTCTGCTGCCAAAGACTGGTGTCAGTTCTTCAACATTCGCTAGGCTGAGGTATTGAACTCTGTGGAAATATTGGTATGAAGTCAATAGAGTATCGCCGACAAGATATTTTGCCTTTCCGAGGAGTTTAGATCAAATGATTAAGGAGGGGGGGGGTGCTACACCTGGAGGCTATCTCGCTTTTTAGAGGATCAAATTTTAACAAATTTCACACATATAACAAGCGTAGCGAGGAGTCTTAAAAATCCGCAATCAAATTTGAGGAAAACGTTTCGTTGCCACAGGGACGGCGGGCTTATTAGATTTTGTTGATATGTCTTACGTAATGAATACCGCACTTTTTCAAGGGAATAGGTTGTTTTTTGTTATCATGCACGTTAGCAGACAATAGATCTACAAATTTGTTAGTTGGATTTTTCCTAAAAGAGCAAAAAATTCGTGAAAATCCACACCCCACACAGCCCCCACAAAAATCTGTTCGATATATAAAAAATTGAAACAGACAAGCTTTTAGTGTTACATCTTCTCTTCATTTTGTGAAAAGTTCCTGAAGATTGGATATAAAATGGTAGAATTAAAAAAAAAGTATATAAAAAAACTGCATTTCGAGAAATAGGGGGAAACAGAAAAATAAGAGACTGACTTTATGAGGATATGGTGTTGGTTAAATGCCCCATATGGGAAAAGGTAAAGCTTTAGGGGGTTCCTATGCAACGAAATAGTCATAAGAGAGAATTGAAGGTGCCAAAAAACGCTTACATCTCCGTATCCATAATTTTGATCCGAACCGGGACTTTCAGGGAGTAGCCTCCCCCCACCCCCACTTTTAGAACAACAGGTTTGTCGCCCGAGGGTGACTGAATCTTGCTGTATCC